TGGAAATGCTTTTAGGTATTGGCCAACAGAAGATGGAGAAAGCAAAAAAAGGAAATTTGCTCCAGTTCTCAATTTTGAGAATCTTGCTCTTCCTGTCCGCTCGCCCAGGAAGTGGACCCTGCGTGCGGACACCTAGAGATTGGTCTCCAGGGTAACCTGGGATACAGGTTAGTTAGCAACCCAGAGTGTGTGCAAAAGGGTCCACTGGATGTGGAAAGAGAAGTGTGGCAACTTTAATTTCTCTTTATTTTGATCTCTTCCTTTAAATTAATTTTTTGGGGTGTTTTATGATGTACATAATGTATTCGTAGAGTATTACAAGCACGTAAGTAAAATAAAGGAACGTGCATACGGCAGAGAAAAACAACGCTCGCGTTCGATGCACTTCGAACGTGCATAGCAGACACTGATTATTATCAATGATTAGGGAGCAAAGCTTAGTAACGTGAACTTCAGTCCTTCTTGAGGTCCTGCCTTGCTGACTACGCAAGATTGTTTTTGCTTTTAAAAAGACTTTCATCTTATTATTTGCAGTTCAAGAACATACTGACGTGCACTTCCCTTTCCTCATCTACAAAGGCAAAGTCGTCCTCAATCAAGTTGTAAAAAATCTTTTGGAGATAAGATTTGCTGTTTTCTGGAAGCTTCTACTGCCACATGGTCACGTAAGACTTCTTGGGAACTAGACAAGGCGTAAACATGTTCTACTCTGTGGGTCACGTGGCCTCGGATAGCTCAACAGCTCAAGTCTGCTGCTACGTGTGAAAACAGCCGCAGGGGAAAGAAACAAGGGCGTGTCTCAGTGCTTCATGGACACAAATTAATAAAGGATTCAGGCTGGATTTTGTCCCAGGCTGGAGAATGCCGACCACTGTATCAGACGAGGAGGCTGTATGGAAGGTTATTGCTTTGATTGGGGTGCCTGACCCTGATCCCCTAAGGGAATTAGGTTTGCTACTAACAGCGGGCCTGGGAGGAGTGTGACGAACACCCCAGAGTCCCCAAGACGTGTCTTGAATCAACACGCCACTGGGCCCGGAGACCAGAGGAAGGCTACAGCCACTCCATACAAGCAGCCCCTCCAAGAGGTAGGGTCCTTCTAGAACAGAGGGCTGGTTTTCCTACCCGGGCACAGAGCCCCAGCCAGCCTGGGTACTCGCTGGTCCTGGGACCAGACTAGCATCTGAAACTGTAGCCTCCACCCGTATTACCTCTCTTGTCCTTGAAGTGTCTGAAGACCGAATCATCTCCTCTTCCTTTATTTCCCTTTGAAAATGACTGTGCTCAGAATTTCTGTCTTCCCTCTTTCTTTCCCCTAATACTAGAAGGCAGTGTTTACCAAGCTTGAGTGTCACCCGAGGGGTTGGCTGCAGGCGGAACTGATGACAGAACTGACATAGATTCTATGTCATCGTGTAGGCTGAAAGGCACCGGATAGAAGGACACGGTGCAGACAGTACTGGAGGAGGCATGGGAATTTCATTACTTGAAGATGGAGGACTCTGTCCGTCACGCTGACATCCTTAGTGGTGACGCCTGGACATGATGCTGGGGAAGCAGCAAGGCCTCTAACCCCTGTGTGTAGGGTGACTGGACCGAGTTCAACGAGGGAATCCTCGTAAAAGTGGGAGGCTGTGTGTGCACACACGCTGGGCGGTGGACGAGGAGGGTGTTACGGGCGCCTGCAGAGCTGCCAACTGCGCCTCTTCTCCAGGAACGTCTGCTCGCTTCCCGGGTGGGTTCTTGGTTACTTTGCTTTTGCCGCGTGATCCTGCCTCCCAGCCCCCCAGTAACCAACTGGTTCAGAGATCCCAACTGGGCTAATCAGAGATCCCATAATGAGGAGGCTGGAAAGGTAACTGGAGAGGCACGAACACCAGGAATTCTCTGGATGTCCATGAATTCTTCCTGCCAAGCCCCCCAGAACCAGCCTGGCTCCTTCCCTTTCTGAGTCCTGAGCGTTCAGCTCTTCTTTGAATTCTGTAAATACACCCAAATCCTTCCAATAAATTGTCTTCCTTGTTTTAAAAAAAAAGGGGGGGGGGAAGTAAAAGGATGGGGACCAAAAATGGATTCAGAAACCAGGCTAGAAATGTATCCCTTAATGCCCCTCATACACATTTGGTTCTAAGATTTCCAGCAGGCAACGCAGACAGGGAAAATTGGGTCGTTACGTGATCGGTGTCCATCATAGACAAAAACAATCGAGTTGCTCAGAAGCACAGCTATTCTTGGTACCGAGACAGGAAATTTCTCCAGGGGGCTCGTGTGACAAATGGCGTCTTCACGACATCTTTCCAACGGACACAGCGGGTTTCACAGGCAGCTGCTTACTCAGACCCGCCATACAGGCCGCTGACGTTACTCTCAAGCTCGATCTTGTGAAATCAGTTCTGGGGCAGTGGGAGCAATATGTAGTCTGGGCACGTTGACCCGGGCGTAGATTCAGGCAGGAAAAGCAGATAGATTGTATGCCCTCCACGCAAGCCTCACAGCAAGCCCAGTGAAAAAATCAGGTGGCGGCTAGGACCTGAGGGGAGAACCCCGTGGAGTAGAGCACACACGCCGCCTGGACACAGACTCAGACCTTCCTGCTTCATCAGCGGGCTGGGCAGGGTTGGTTTCCCACGTCCTCGGGGAAGGTCAAGGACCTGGGCTCGGTGATTCAAGGGCAACAGCACGGGCTACTGTCCTGGGTCCAGGACACCCGCTCCCAGACAGCTTCTCTGAAGAAGCCGAGCCCCCGCCCTGACCTAATCAACGCGTCTTTACAAGAAGCCCAGTCACTCCGCTGGTCTTCTTGAGCCCCGCCTACGGCTACCCAGCCAGACAGCAGAGAAGCCTTAACTAGCTACACTTGCTGCACAACACCTAACAAGACACACCTCTGCAGCTGGGTGCTTTCTAGCACACTGAATGGCCTTTAAAAACACTGACCGGAAAAGGGCAGCACGGACTCCTGCTTCCCGGGAAGCTGAACATCTGGCCCATCTTCAGGACCCAGCATCCCACCTGCTGGCTCCCCCAGACCTCCCAGACCCCATATGTTGGCTGCCCCTTTCTGCCTTCAGAAATGACCCTGGTCCTGGGACTTCCCTGCTGGTCCAGTGGTTAAGACTCTGCGCTTCCACTGCAGGGTGCATGGGTTCCATCCCTGGTCAGGGAACTAAGATCCCGCATGCCACGCAGCACAGCCAAAAAACCACCAAGAGATGACCCTGGTCTTAACAGAATGACCACCCCACACCCACAAGTCCTGCGCCTCCCCAGCCAGGGACGTGAATTGCAGATCTTGGCTTTCAGTGTAACCTGGGTCCCCCCCAAAATTCATGTCCTTCCAGGAACCACAGAAAGCGAACTTATTTGGAAATAGGGTCCTTGCAGATGTAATTAGTGAGGAGGAGGTCATCCTGAAGTAGCATGGCCCTCAATGCAAAATGACCACTGTCCTTAGAAGAGGAGACGCAGAAGCACAAAGACACAGACACAGACAGACACACGGCGGGAGAGGGCCATGTGACAGCGACGGTGACGCAGAGGCTGGCGTGCTGCTTCCATGAGCCAAGGAGCACCCAGGACCGCCAGCAACGCCAGGAGCTAAGAGAAGGGCCTGGAACAGATTCTCCCCTAGACTCTTCGGGGGGACCATGGCCCTGCTGACGTCTTGATTTTGGTTTCTGGCCTCTGGAACTGAGAGAATAAATTTCTGTTGTTCAAGCCACCCAGTTTGGGGTACTTTGTAATGGCTGCCCCAGGAAATTCATACAACCTAGTTCTGTTGTAAGCAACCTAGGCACAATGCCACCTGTGGGGAAACAGGACACCTGGTGAAGGTCTGGTCTGACATCCCCTCCCCTCTGAGAGGTGGTGTGTGATGGCATATTTGAGAATTGCAGGGTCCCTGTCCAGGAAACTGGGGATGCTCTCTAGGGTGTTGGGATGTCAGTGCTAGGACACACCTCCCTATCTGGCTTCATATCTAAGTTCCTAACTGCACGTCACCCGTACTGTCTGTGTGAGGACCACCTTGTCCTGTGACATTTGTACACTTACACATGAGTTCAGTCATCATGGCGATGCCTTTAGGGGTGCTAGGAACGATACCCCAAACCACCGAAAAAAATTAAAGAAGAAAGCTTCCCACACTTTCCTTACAAGTCACGGAGACTGAAACTGCACTCCGGCTGGCCTTGCAGATAGAGTAATAGCTCCAGCCCACAGGTCCTGCAAATACAACCCGGAAAGAAAGGAGGCGCGATGCCCAAGGGCAAGCTTGTTTTCCAAATCATTGTATTCTTGATAGGAACTTCCTACGTCCTCAGAAAGAGTTGCAAAGAGGAGGGAGATGCACTAAGACACGGGAAAGGTGAAAATAAACTCCATCTACTTTATGGTTTCCCTGGTATATTTCTAGATACGATCAACGGTGCTCAGTGGAGAATGTTTTATCCTTAGATCACAAACACTCATGAGCCTAAAGAACTCTCTCTGAAACACACATCTGCTTCCCCTGTTTCTGTAGCAAATCAACCCCACCTACCCAGGGCCTGAGACAGAAAAGGTCAGCACGTGCTAGAAACAGGTTCACTCAAATCCCCCAAACGCCGTAAGCCCTGGGGGCCGCACACGGCAGATCAGAGAAAGCGCTGGGCCGTCTGGCCCCAGGCGTGGGCCGCTGCTGGTTCCCAGAGAAGGCTGGAGGCTAGCGTTCCACGTGGCTGTCCTCACAGCCCTACTGTGAGTATTGGGGTATTTACATTAACCCCACAAGCCACGCCATACTGGGCGGATTAGTGCAGGGATAGAGCGACAGGTGGAAACACGTTGCGCTGGAGATAAATCTGTTCCCGGGGGACAGACCAGACGCACACACTCAGCACCATCAGTAACAGCCACCCGGCCAGCTCTGGTGTCCCTGCAGGTGGCCCCGCGGCCAAGCGGCTGTGAGCAGCCCCCTGGCAGCCCTGCACCCACCTGAACAACAGTCATCAGTGCCTTACTTTTTCTGGAGCGGGAGAAGAACCGGATGCCCCCGGGCGAGGTAGACGGGTTGGAGTTGGGGGAAGATTCTTTGGACGAGGAACGGAAGATTCCGCTGAAGCTCATGCGGCGGGGCGAGCGCGGCGGGGACTCCTGGTAGGAGAACGGGAACACGGTTTTGGGGGAGCCGGGGCTGGTCTTGGGCCTCACGGGAGCAGACACGGGGCTGGAGGGCCGGTGCTGGGGGCCTCTGGAGAAGAAGCCTTTGGAGGGGCTGCCTGAGCCGAAGGGGCTGTCCACCTGCAGACAGACAAGACAGAGAGACGGACGGGTGAGGTCACTCAGAGCCTGTCCCCCATGATCCAGCTGCTGCCACGACACCTGGCCCGAGAAACAGCCCCACGCTCTTCCCCAGACAGAGGCGGCCCAGGGGAAGGACCGGACCCCGGGACGACCCACCCACAGTCCAGGCCGCAGCATCCAGGAGCCCACTGGCCTCGACCCGGTTCTCTGGAAGGGTCTTCTGGAGGTGGGGGAGGACAGCCATGCAGCCGAGAAGGCTCGAAACACGGCACCTGCCCCCTGCGTCCTATTTGCGGCCCCGTCTCCTGGCCTTCACTCCTGAAGACCTCGTGCCTGTCCTGCTCGAAGTCTGACTACAGATCTGATCTCTCTGATCTGAAAGACAGTGGGCCCAGGGCTCTATCCTGAGGGGACCCTGGCGTGGGAAGTGATGAGGTTTTCACCTCCAAGCAGCTTCGGCGCTGGAGTAACGGGGGTTGCAGGCAGAGGCCGGGAAGAAAGCGAACAAGGCTGCAAAGCTCTGAGGCTCACTTCGGCGACGGCTTGAAACTGTAGTGATGGTTTCAAAACTCACTGGACTCCGTATTTAAGCCAAGGCTCACAGACTCAGGGACTTTCGAACGTGTCCTGCTGGCGGGTGTAGCAGTTGGCGCTCCCACCTGAGTGCCTGGGCCTGACCCGCTCGCCTCTGGGCCACCCTGGAGGTTACGTAGACTCCCTAAGCCTCCGTCTCCTCCTGCGTGAAATGAGGGGCTGTACCTGCCCCTCAGGGCTGTCTGAAGGGGCATCGGGCAGACCTGACGCACAGGAACTGTACTCTGTACATGACCTGCTGCCGTCCCGCGGGTAAGCCTGCAACACAGGAGCCAGAAGGGCCTCGGGGCCCACCCAGCTCTGCAGCAGAAAAGGAAAAAACGACGTGTCCCCTGGGCTCTGGGGCAAGCATGAGACCTGGCAGGGGTCGTGCAGCACACTGAGACCCTGGGCTCCGCACAGCAGGTGACGACCGGTGCACTGCGCACAGGGCAGAGGCAGTCTCCGTGCCTCTATCCACTGGGGTGCCTGCCTGGACCCGGGTCCCCTGTGAGCTCTTCCACCACTAGAGGGAGCCCCCGAGCTGGGCTTGAGGTCCCTTAAAGGAAGTGATGCCCTGTGGGGACCCTCAACCGCACGCCCCCTTCTCCCTGAGACCCTCCACCCTGCGTTAAAGGACCAGTGTGGCCATGGCGGGGAGGGGTGCAGAGGCTAGCCCCGTGCCAGTCCCCTCGCCGAGTGGGAATCTGAGGCAGAGGCCGAGCTTCCCCAGAGCCATATAACTCAGGCTCTCCTCCTTATGGAGAAGTTCAGGGTTTTCTTTTGCTAACCATTTGGTGTGAATAGCATTTAGATTCTCTGCCTCTAGAGTACTGGGTTCAGCCACTACCAACCGGCCTATGGGACTCAGGCTTCCTGGGGCTTTTCTGCATCCTAAGAGTAATGAACACAGAGCTTTTGGAGCGGTGGGAGGCGTGTGCCTGTGGACGTGGGGGTGGGGCATAGGGCCAGCAGGCCCAGGGGTGGAGGAAGACCCCACGGCAGGGTGGTACGTGTCAGGGTTCGGGACAAAGATACAGGAGTCTGAATCCCAGCTCAGTTTCCAGCAGTGACAAGTGACCTACGTGTCAGTGTTCTCATGTATCCAATGGGGACACTAGGCCGACTCGCAGGGTCGTCAAGATGACAGGATATACACAAGGGAAGCACCTGCCACACAGGTACACAGCAGGTGTACACAGCAGGTACGTGTACACGATGGTACACGGCAGGTACGTCTGGGAGGTCAGCCCTCACTGTCACGAATTCGCTACAAAGAGACCCTTGGTAGACGTGGAGAGTCGGGGAGGCTGGGCTGATTTACGGAAAGACTCCACATGGGGTGAGAACCTGACCCTCCTTTGAGGGGGAACCACAGAGCTCTTCAGCACGGGGGCCGGGGGGACACGGTCATTTAGGGCAGACGTTCTAGTGGCCTGTCACCATCACCCTCTGGGTGCCGCTGAGCCCGGAGCTCAGAGAGGGCACTGGCTGGAGGCTGAGGGAAGGCCCCAAAGCTGGTAAGTGGTGGGCGGGACCTCAGGCCCACGGCCTTGACCCTCACACCATTCACCTCCCGAGAAAAGCAGAAACGGTCACGTGAAACGGAAGAGGAGTCAAGGTCAAGCTTGAAGGCAGAGGGAGGGAGTCACAGTAGGAGGCCAGCCCCGCTGCTGCCCCATCCCCTTCACACTGCACAGTGAGCTCTGCCTAGGGAGGAGGGATTGCGGAGCAAAGCTGACGCTCACTGCACGCAGGGAACAAGATGTGGGCAAGAATGGGGTCCCCGCGAGACCCTGGAGAACAGCAGGCAAGACAGGGCTGCTCTGAGAGTGGCCCAGACGGGGAGAGATTTTAGAGGGAGACACTGCCCATCATGGGGCCCTGAAGCAGGGAAGGCGCTGAAAGCCGACGGGCTGTGGACAGGCCGATGGGCAGAGGTGTCCCAGGGTCGGGGGGAGAGAGGAGCTGGAGCCGGGAGGACAGACAGACAGCCACTCACTTGGGCCACCGCGGACGGGTCACCGGGGCAGGTGGAGGCAAACGGCAGTCTCGAAGGGCCTGGGTGCCGGTTTGAACCGTACCTGGCGGGCAAGGGGAGCCCTAGGATTCTCCGACTAGGACTGATTCCAATTCCGGGCTCAGAATTGCAGGCCTAAAGGGCCAGGCACTCAGCCATCGGGCTTCAGGAGGGGGGTCCAGAAAGCAGGCCCTCCCCACACGGCCAGACAGTGGTGGCTGTGGCCCGTCCCGGCCTTGTCCCCCGTGTCTCCCGCCCTGACCCTGGCGAGGGGGCGGTGGCGCTGAGCCCCCGGGTCTGCTTCCTGTAGGTTGGGAGGGGTGGCGTGGGTATCGGCATGATTGCAGCCACTGGGGACAGAGCCCATGCCTCTTAGCAAGCTGCAGTAAACTGACACCTTGCTAAACGTAAGGGCACGCCTCCCGAGGCGTGAACGTGAACGAAGGGCCCAGAGCCTCCCGAGCGCCTGCCGGCTCTGCAGAGCTACGCGGCGGGCTCTCAGGCCTCCGCGAGCAGAGCTTCCAGGTCCACCTCTGTCTGCCACCGCAGGGAGGGCCGCGGGGGCCAGGGCCAGGCCACCCGGTGCTTGGTCTCAGCCCAGAGGATGCAGGAAAGCGAAGAGGAGGGTTGCACGTGTGAAGGTGAGCGAGGGGTCCGCGGGGCTGGCCTTGACGGTGACTGACAGCTGGGCACAGGGCACCCCTTGGGAGCCTGAGGGAAATGGGTGTGGGCGAAGGGGTTAAAGGTGAAGGGCGCCAGGAAAGGGGGGCCGAGTTGGACAAAACCTCGAGGTGAGGGTCTGTGGAGCCCGACTCAGGCTGGGGAGGTGTGGAGGCTGTGCCTGGGATGCAGGACACGGCCAGTGCCCTCGGGGCCAGTGCGCTAATGGTGCGCGGCTCCGCTCTGAGTCCCTGTGTGCTCCAGACGGAAAGGGGCTGGCGTTCTCGGCAGAGGGAATGGAGGAACAGTGCACACGGCCAGCAGTGGACGAGAGGCCCCGAGCCACGTCTAAGGCCTGGCCAGATGCCACGTTCCCGACGGCTCAGGTAAACGTGCACCCCTTCACGGTGCTCCGAAGTGGGGGGTGTCCTGAGGCCACGCCTGCGTTCCCAGACTGTCCCTGAGCACGTGTCCCGGGCCAGTCACTGCTCTACGTCTGCTCCATCGACGAGCTCACTGAATCCTCATAAGGAAAGGTGAGCACCGCCACGAGCCCGGGTTTGCCGATGGGGAGACAGGTTCACAGAGAATATCTTGTCCCGGGTCACACAGAAGGGAAGCTGCCAGGAAACATGAACAAAGGAGCCGGGCTCCCTATCCCAGGATCAAGGGACACAGACAGGAAAACCTGTGGGCATCTGGGCATTCCACAGACTGCCCCAGACCAGGCCATGCTGGCTGACCCAGAGTGACCACAGTGGTGTTGAATGACCCCAGGGACGCTGATGGCACTGACCTACCTCCCAATACTGGCCCGGGAGCTGCACACAGAGCTGTGCAGAGTCAAGGTGACCATGAAGCTCTTGTACCGAGATGTGTTATGTAACAAAGAGCTGCCACCTCTGGGAACAGGGGAGCCAGGAGAGGGGACAGGTGGGAAGACCAGGCAGCTCCCATATCAACCGATGCTTGGGAACGCAGGGTTGGCATCGTTGTTGGGTTTTTTTCGGCTGTGCTGCGTGGCCTGTGGGATCTTAGTTCCCTGAACAGGGATCGAATCCGTGCCCTCAGCAGTGAAAGCGCGGAGTCCTAACCACTGGACTGCCAGGGAAGTCCCAGGGTTGGCATCCTTGAGTCCAGAACACCCATAAAGGGGAGCTCAGCTGTGACCCCTGCACTGAACTCTGAGTGTACCTAGATGGGAGAGGAGGCCGCCAGGTGTCCAGTCCACATTCAGCTTGGCAGTCCCTGAGGATTTTCAGTCCCCTTAGGAGACGGGGGTCTCAGTCACAGGGTACAAAGATGCAGAGATGATCCAGAAAGGGCAGAAAGCCTCCTGTCCGGCCGAGGACACGTCCCTGCATGGCCTGCGCCACTGGCCCCAGTTCAGGGTGTCCAGACGCAGCGCAACGCACACTGGGCTGAGCGCCAAGAAACCCAGACTGAAGCCGGCTCAGTTATTAAGCAGCCCTGTGACTGTGGGAAAGTCTTTCCACCATCCTGAAGTCCAGTTCCTTCATTTAAAACCCAAGTGTAGGTGCTGCATGGGACCCCAGGACCTTTGCACAATCTAGGAAGGAAGTCCCAATAACGATGGAGATTCCCATTTCCCATCAGCCCGGTGGGATGAGGGACGTGGAGCCTCCAGGGCCAAAGAATTCAGCCTGGCTCTTGTCTCTGCTCTCAGACACTGCCCACGGCAGCCCCTCCCGAAGCCTCGGCCCAGCAGCCGCCCCAGCCGTCTGCCGCACACTCACCCTGACCGCGGGCCACCTGGACCTCCCTTTGCTTGCCGTGGCCAACCCACCCACCCCGGGATGCGCACTCCTCGGCTGCCTGCCCTCCACGGCTCCAGCTTCCTCTGGAGGAAAAACTGACCAGAGGGAGAGGGGAGAATGTGGGTTAAAGAGAGGAAAGGGAAAGGGGGAAAGAGGACGAAAGGGAGAGGAATGGGCAGGGAGAAGGGGCTCCCGTCTGCGGGGGAGACAGTTGGTCTCCACATCCCGATTTCACTAATGCTTTCAACCTCCTCTCTTCGCTAATCAGCTCCGCGGGCGCTCAGGGTGCTGAGCTCACTGTCCATCTTCGGCATCACCTCTGCCCTCTTCGGGGAGTCCCGTGGCCGCGGACGAGCCCAGAGGGAAGAGGAGAGAAGAGAAAGGAGTGAAGCCTGGCAGGTGTGAGGCAGGTGTGAGGCAGCAGCCAGGTGCACGGGTGGGAGCGCAGGTCAGAGCACAGGTGGGAGCACAGGTGCACATGTAGGTGGGAGCACAGGTGGATGTACAGGTGAGAGCACGGGTGGATGTGTCTTGGGCTCGCGCTGAGGGAGTTCTGCCTCAGTGGCACCTCAGGTGAGCCGTGAGAAGCTGTGAGGAAGGTGGCTTACCTTACGAGAAGGATGCTTTTCTGAACTCTCCAGGTCTCCATCCAGGAGCGGCATGGCAAAGGAACTCAGGTCCTAGGACGGAAAGAGAGCACGTGGTCAATGACCTGGACCCTCAGGTGCCCATCTGGCCTCGTCCAGGGCCGCTCCTGGCTCTCCGTGTGTATCACCACCCCCTCCCTGAGACCTCCTCGAATGTCAAGCCCCAGGGAGGATGCGGAGGGCCAACAAGGTGAAAGGAGGGGTGGAGACGTGCTGGCCCCCCTCGGAGATCCTGACCCACCTTCAGCTTCCCTTCCCGTCCCCCCAGGGGAAGGAGCAGGAAGAAGAGGCTGGGACCGCAGGGCAGAAGGAAGAGAGCAAGGGAGGAAAAGCAGAAAAGGGGGAGGGCAGAGCCCACCGCAGCGCTCAGGACTTCATTTCATGACACGAGTGTGGCCCAAGGAAGTGTGTCCTCCTGGAAAGATGGCAGGGCCGCATGGGAGGGCTGGCCGCTGCGGCAAAGCGGTCAGAAAGGCCTGATGACATCATGGCCCAGAGAGATGGCCTTGGGGGGAGCAGCTCGCCAAAGACTCGTGGTGTCTAAAATGAAGTCATCACGTCACCCTCACCCTGCTCCCCTTTCCTCCTGTGTTTTGCCCGGTGGACACCTCCATGCCTGGGCAGGAACCGCACCTGGGCAGTCCTCCACCGGGAGAAGCTGCCTGCATCCCTAACCTTTTGGTTTTTTTCTTTTTTATTGTGGTAAAATACATGTACACAAGATTTACCATCTTAACCATTTTAAGTGTACAGTTCAGTGCAGTTAAGCACGTTCACGCTGTTGGGCAACTAACCTCCAGGGCCCTTCCCTTTGCAAACTGAAACTCCATATGCATTTGACAACCACCCCCCCGCCCCCTGCCCCAGCCCCTGGCACCCCCTGCCCCCATTCTACTTTCTGTCTCTATGAATGTGACAACTCTAGGGACCTCATGTAAGTAGAATCGTACAGTATTTGTCTTTCTGTGACGGGCTTATTTCACTTAGCATAAGGTCCTCAGGTTCATCCGTGTTGTAGCGTGTAACAGGATTTCCTTCCTTTTAAAGGCTGAATAATGTTCCATCGTATGGATAGACCACATTTTGTTTATCTGTTCCTCCATCATGGGACACAGGGCGCTTCCACACCCTTTGGCTACTGGGAATAATGCTGCTATGAACACACGTGTTATGGATTGAACTGCGTACCCCTCAACACTCATAGGTTTGAAGTTCCCACCCCCATTACCTCAGAATGTGACTGTATTTCACGGCTGAGGGCACGGGTTCAATCCCTGGTTGGGGAACTAAGATCCCACAAGCCAGGCAGCGCAGCCGGAAAAAAACCAACAGCGATGCCAACCCCGCGTTCCCAGATAGAGAGGGTCTTTGAAGAGGTAATTACGTTAAAATGAGGTCATACGGATGGGCTCTCTAATAAGACTTCAATCCAGCAGCACTCGTGTCCTTATAAGAAGAGGAGATCAGGAAACAGACACAGAAGGAAGACACAGAGAGAAGATGGCCATCTATGAGCCAAAGAAGGAGTTTCTCAGAAGAAACTCACCCTGCCGACACCCTGACCTTGGACTTCTAGCCTCTACAATTGTGAGAAAATAAACTGCTGTTGTTTAAGCCACCCAGTCTGTGATACTTTGTTATGGCAGCCCTAGCAAACTAATACAGTGGGTGTACAAACATCTCTGCGACCCTGCTTTCATTTCTTTTGGGTATATACCCAGATGTGGAATTGCTGGATCACATAGTAATTTATTTTTAATACTTTTGAGGAACCCCCATACTTTTTCCGTAGCAGCTGCACCATTTTACATTCCCACCAGTGGTACACAAGGGTGCCAATTTCATCCTCACCAACACTTGTTATTATTTTATTTTAGTTTTTGTTTTTTATGGTGACCATCCTAACAGGTATGAGGCAGTATCTCACTGTGGTTTTGATTTGCATTTCCCCAATGATTAATACTGTTGAGCACCTTTTCTTGTGCTTGTTGGCCATCTGTATATCTTTTCTAGAAAAATGTCTCTTCAAGAAGCCCTTTGACTATTTTTTCACCAGCTTGTTTGCTGCTGAGTTGGTAGGAGTTCGTTATATAATCTGGATATTAACCTTTTATCAGATATATGAATTGCAAGTATTTTTTTCCCATCCTGTAGGTTGCCTTTTCACTCTGTGGATTGTGTCCTGTGGTGCACAGAAGTTTTTAATTTTGATGTGGTCCAATTTATCTGTTGATATTTTTATCAATACTTTGTTGCCTGTGCTTTGGTGTCATACCCAAGAAATCATTGCCAAATCCAGTGTCATGGAGCTTTTCCCCTGTTTTCTTTAAGTTTTACAGTTTATATTTAAGTCTTTAAGTCTTATATTTAAGTCTTTGATCCATTTTGAGTTACAAAAGCTCCCCCCCACCTTATCAGCAGTTTTGCCTTCCAACGTTTCAGTTACTTGAGGTCAACCAGGGTCCAAAAGTATTTAATGGAAAATTCCAGGGAATTCCCTGGTGGTCCAGTGGTTAAGACTCCATGTTCCCAATGCAGGGGGCCCGGGTTCGATCCCTGGTCAGGGAATTAAATCCCACATACATGCCGCAACTAAGAGTCCACATGCCGCAGCTAGAAGACCCCGCGTATCGCAGTGAAGATCCTGCATGCGGCAACTAAGATCTGACGCAGCCAAATAAATAAATAAATAAGGGGGAAAAAGAAAAGAGAAAGTTCCAGGGACTTCCCTGGCAGTCCAGTGGTTAAGACTCCGTGCTTCCACTGCAGGGGGCACGGGTTCGTTCCCCAGTTGGGGAACTAAGATCCCACATGCCTCACAGCATGGCCAAAATAATAATAATAACATAAAATAAAAATTCAAAAAAAATTCCAGAAGTAAACAATTCAAAATTCCAGAAATAAACAATTCATCACAATTTTGTTTTTTGAATTTCGTGCCATTCTGAGTAACTTGATGAAATCTTGCACTGTCCCGCCCTGTCCTGCCTGGGACGTGAACCATCATCCCTTTGTCCAGCGTATATCCACACCGTACATGTGCTACCCCCTCGCCAGTCACTTAGTAGCCGTCTTGGTTATCTGTTTGACTGGTGCGGTACCACAGTGTTTATGCTCACATGAGCCTTATTTTACTTAATAATGGCCCCAAAGTGCAAGAGGAGGGACACTGGCAATTTGGATATTCTCTTACTGAGCCTACTTCATAAATTAAACTTTATCCTAGGTACGTACGTACAGGAAAAATCATAGTATCCACGGTTCAGTTCCATGGTTTTAGGCATCCACTGGGGGTTTTGGAACATATCGCCTGTGGTTAAGGGGAACTACCGTAATTTTTGTATATTGTATAATAAGGTAAGGGTCCAACTTTATTCTTCCACATGTGGATACCCAATTTTCCCAGCACCAAGTATTGCAAAGACTATCTTTTCCCAGTGAATGGTCTTGGCACTTTTGCTGAAAATCATTTGGCCATATATGTATGGAAGAGTTTCTTTCTGGACTCTTTGTTCTATTTCATTGGTCTATATGTCTGTCTTTATGCCAGTACCACACTGTTTTGATGATTGTAACTCTGTAATAAGTTTTGAGCTCAGGGAGTGTGAGACCTCTAACTTTGTACTTTTTTTTTTTCAAGACTGTTTTAGTTACTTGGGGTCCCTTGAGAGTTCATACAAATTTTAGGATGGATTTTTCTATATCTGCAAAAAAATGCCATTGGGATTTTGATAGGGATTGCATTGAATCTGTAGATGACTTTGGGTAGTATTACCATCTCAATATTAAGTCTCCAATCCATGCACATGGGAGGTCTCTCCATTTATCTGTGTCTTCTTTAATTTCTTTCAGCAACGTTTTGTAGTTTTCTGTGTACCTAATCTTTCTTTTAACCCCTTCCAACCTCCCAACCCCTTTGCTGTGGGGTCCAGGTCTGCACCCTCCTTTGCCCAGCTCTCTTTTGGGTTTCCTAATGGTTCTCCAAATCTTTCAGCTTAGCCTGTTTCAAGCTATCTGCAAACCTCTGCTAGAACAGTGATTCCTAAAACCGTGGCCCCATTATGCTGGCCTCTGCCCTAAAGCCCCAGGGCCTCCACCATAGCCTAGGCAATGGCTCCCACACCTAGTCCACCGGGACTTGCTGGCAATCTCTTACGTAGGCAGATTCCAGACTCAGCCCCTCTGGTGCTGGTTTATCTCAGCGTCCCAGGCTGGCTGCACCTCGGGAGCTGGATCCCACCACAGAGTCGACTGGTCTGCGGTGCCGTGCAGGCTTCACGGTGATTCAGCCGGCAGCCCAGGCGGGGAGCCACCAGCTTCCCACGGGCGATTCACAGTCAGGAGCTCTCAGCCGGGCCCTGCAGGCTCCAATACAGGCCCCGTGGATGTGCCGACCTCTGCAGCCTTATTTCTGATGTGCTCTGCACCCCGTCTCCTTCTTTCAGCAAGAGCCCAGGCAGGATCTTGATAGCTTTTTAAACACAGCTGTGCGTCTGTGGACACGTTGCCTGGAATGCTGTCTCAGCTCCTCAGTTCAAGGTCACCCTTCGCCCACCGTACAACCCCTTCGTCGGAGAACAGACTTCGCTCACCTGGGCCCCTGCAGGACGGAGCTGGCCATCTCTCTGAAGCTTGGAGCCCTTTCCTCCTGCCCACTTGCCTCCAGCTCCCAGCCCGCAGATCCTGGCTCACGGGGTGAACTCCTACTGTCATGCAAAGCCCAATTCAGATACGATCCCTCAGGCAGAATTCATGCTTCTCTTACCTGTGCTACCACAGTACCTTAGACTACCTTTATTACAGGACTTATCGTGCTCTCTCAATACCATTTATCAGTCTATTTCTCTAACTGGACTGTGAACCGGTCAAGGGTGAGGGGAAATCATTCATCTCGCTATTCTGCGCCACAGGCAGCAGGTGTGCAGAAGTGACTGAATCAACTCCCGGACACAGCAGCCCCTCCCCCGGCAGCACGTGTAGGGGGTGCGCGCCTGTGCTGATGGGCAGGAGGGGCGGCGAACGGGCAGACCCCG